ATGCTAGTGACTGCCCAAACAAGAAGATCATGGCTATTGTCGAATGTGAAGAAGAAGAAATGAATCCATTTTGGGTTCAAGGAGAGCTGAACAAAGAAGAAGAAATCGTCGGCCCCGATGAAGGTGAACTTTTGGTCATTCAGAAGACCATTAGTCATGTGGCTGCCCAGGATGATACCACGCCCCGAGAAAGTATTTTTCATACTCAATGCACCATTCAAAATAAGGTGTGTTCATTGATAATCGATAGCGGGAGTAGTGCCAATGTTGTTGCCAAAACAGCGGCGGAAAAGCTCAACTTAAAGGTGGTGCCACATCCGAGACCTTATGAGATCCAATGGTTGAATCTTAATGAAGGGATACGTGTGAATGCACGTAGTTTGGTCTCCTTTAGCATCGGTCAGTCCTTTCATGACAACGTGTGGTGTGATGTGATACCCATGAGAGCTTGTCACATTCTCCTCGGGAGGCCGTGGTTATATGATCATAGAGTTATCTACGATGGTTTCACCAACTCGTATTCATTTGAGATGGATACAAGGAGACTCACTCTTGCTCCGATGATTCCGTCTATCCAACTGCCCCAGGCACAATCTCCATCCATACTTTCCATCTTTATGAAGTCCAAAAATTCAAGGCCCGAAGAGTCACCCCATGAACCCGGGTTGTACCCAAAACATCCCTTGTGCCTCGTTGAAAGCCCCGGACACGAACCCTTCTGTAAAAGGAGAAATCATGGGACCGAGTTAATACTAACGGCCTTTAGTGCCAATGTTTCTATGCATTATTTGCAGGGATTCCATAAAGATACGCATGAGAGAAAGAACACTCATTTTGAGTGTATAAGGTGGCGTTTCCAAATTTCCCTTCCCCGAGGGCCAAAGCGAAGAGTGTTTGAAGATGAAGATTCAAGCATGATAGCATTTCGCTCTGAAGATGAACCTGAAGAAAACTCGAGTTTGAGGGCAAACTCTTTCAGAGAAGGGGAGGATGTTATATCCAGGGTCACTGCATCCAAGTTGCGAGACATATTTCAAGTATTCACGCAATCGAAGGAAACCATGGCTGAGGACTTTGCTCCTTTTTGGGTGGAAATCAGCCTTGAACTACAAGGCCCAGCCATAACCCCTCGGAACCCCCATTCCCCATCTAAAACTGAACCACCCTCACCAAAAACAAAGTCCCAAAATACCCAAAAGAACCAACTCAAAAATAACTCCACCTTCATTCCCATTATTTCACTTTTCCATCAACAGCATACACCCATCACCTTCTATCCGTATTGCTGTTCTGAGAGCTCTAATAATCGATTGTTGAACACTGACAATCGACTATTAAACCCTACTGAACTTCCCTGGCGTCAGCAGCGAACCCCAATAATCAATTGATAATCGACTATCTGCCATCCCTGAAACTCCTGGGTGTAGTAACACCATTCAAAAATAACCAGACCAAAAACTACATTATTCTCCTTCCCTCCTCCCTTCACTCATGGCCAAAAATCCCTGCCCAAAACCCATGCCATAACCCAATCCTTGTTCCCCATTATGTCCATCAACTTGGATACACAAACAGCCACTATAATCCAAGACATAATGACCCACCTTTACACCAATCAAACCTTGCCTTGTTCCCCTTAAAACTACCCACAGGAAACCTCGAAAACAACCCACCATCCCCTGCACAATTCCTTCCCCCCTTGGCAGAAATAATCCACCCATTCATCAATAAAGTGACCTGCATTCACATGCCAAACAACCCCACAATCCCAGGCACCCATCTCTGATTTCAGTCCATTAAGGAGACAAGAATAAATGGGTATTATCCCATATGTTTGAAATAGTTGCTTCCAGGAAGTTTCCTTATGTCTACATTCAATGTATTGTGTTCTTCTTCCCCCTTCCCTATATAATCAGGCCCTATGGCCATTGTAGAAACAACCTTTTGAATATTAAAATCTTTTACTCTTTGAGTATTATTAAAATAGTGTGATGCTATTTTAGCCAAATTCCTAATTCTATATATTAAGAGTGGTTATCTTAAGTGTGAGTTTTAGGTTCTAGATATTTGATTAAGTGTGTCATATCTTAATTAAATTCTAGATTCAAACCCCAAGTTAGGATAAGAGTGTGTAATATCTCTTAAACACCAACTTGGTTTATCCATCCTTATTTTCTATCCATTTCTTTTCCCACCATTTCTATCCTTAATCTCTTTTCTTTCCTTACATTAAAAATACCAAAAGAGCTCCTTCATCATCTCCATATTTTCCCAGTCATCCCCCACACAAACACCATCATTTCGTTCCCAGAAATTTGTCAAAATAATCGATTAACATTGTTAAAATTCGATTATCATTCCTCTGTCAAAACACCAGCAGGCATCGTTAATCGATTATCCCCCTCGGCAATCGATTATCATACATCAGTGGAAACTCCTACGGTCCTCAATAATCGATTATCACCATACTGGTAATCGACTATTAGCCCTTCCTGAAAATCCAAGAAACTGAACCAGCAAATAATCGATTATCTAGACTAGATAATCGATTATCCTCCTATCTTGAGAATTGGAGGACTTTGTTTCTTGAGTTTGAACTTAATACCGTCATACCCGGAGCTGAGATATAACACATATCCTTCCCAAAATATCTAGTCTTTTATTTTCATTTAATGAACAAAATAAAGTCTTTTCTCTCCTTTTTAGCCCTGAACAAAAATGTGGTCAGGAGGACAAACCTTGTGTAATGTTTCTACTTCTTTTGTTCCTTTTAATTAAAATAAAACCTTCCTTTCACTTCCCTACATCAAACCCACGAATTTCCCAACTCTTTTACCCAAAAATCAGGCCACATTATGATTTGATCAAGACAAAATTCAATTCACAAAACAAAAACAAAATTAGGAAAAAGTTTTCCTTGATTGAATAGTGCTGATTTTGTCTTGTTGTTCAAAACCCAATCCCCTTCATATTCTTCAGCATATGGCCGAATTTCCCACTCCAAATATCCATAAACACAACCCCATTTACCAAGGATAGAGATAAAAACATCAAGGAATCAAAACCATTGATTAAATAGTGCAAACTTTGTCATATTATCCTTAATTGTCAAAGTTACAATTTTCCTTGATTCCCTTCTCACATGGCAGGAATTAATGATCCATATTAAGCCAAAAATCCCAGCCTTTTAACCTCCTTTTCCTGGTCAATGAGTGCTGCCCACTAAGATTAATAATACATGGATATTAATCACATGATTTGTAGGAAAGTAAAATGTAGTTTCCCTTGTTTTGCATTATATATTTCGGCCATGAGGCCTTGTAATCCATCTCAATCTCATTATTAATATTACTCTTGAAGTATTCCCTGAATTGGTGTGAAGCTAGTTCAATCCATTTCCTAATGAAATATCTCCAAAGTTGGACACTTTTGAGTGTTTGTTAGGAGTCTATTTAATACTTTAATAGTGATTATTATTGTATAAAATCGATAATAGCCCCAAATATATATAAAGAGTGTGTTTATCTCTTACATATTATTTGGTTTATCCTTATACAAAAACCACAAAACATTTCCCTTCTTTTCTTCTAATCCTGATCCTGAACCTCTAAATAATCGATTATCCTTATTTGATAATCGACTATTGTAGCCCTCTGATTCTTCTTCAAAATCCACAACTTCACATAATCGATTGTCAATAAATTGATACTCGATTATCGTTACCCTGAGAAAGTTCCTAGTTCCGAGTAAGTCCTTATTAATCGATTGTCTTGTTTTGTCAATCGATTATCTGATTCCTCTGAACATTCCCTGTTTTGAGCCAAACTCTATTAATTGATTTACTTAATGTGCTAATCGATTATCTTACACTTCTGAACTCTGAGTGAATCAGTTCCTGTTTATTTATCCTATGTTTGGGTACAATAGGAACCAAAACCTGTTAATCGATTATCTAAAGGTGCTAATCGATTATTATACATCTCTGTACTTCAAAGTCCCAAAATTGTCAATTCCTATTTGCCTTTCCTAAGGTTGGGTATAAGGCTGAAGTTATTCCCTGTTTTCAACAAAGAATAAAGCCTTTTCATTCATTAAACAAAAGCATGATCACTTTTGTCATAAAGGAACAAAAATCACAAACAAAGTCATTGAATGAATAGTGCTGTTTTGGCATTTTATTCACAATTGTTTAAAGCTTGATTTCCCTTTGTTTTCTTCCTTATATGCACGAAATTTGCCCCAAATAAACCCAAGGAAGATCATGATGTACCCAAGCTTAGGAAAAGCTATGAATAAATAAGGGCAGATTTTAGAGGGGAATATATGGTGAAGAATAGGTTGGATTTGTGTATGAAATGGTGAAGAAAGTATGGTTGTTTGGAAGAGGTGATAGGGCAGAATGAAGGGCAGGAGAAAAGCAATATTATGGAGTGGTTTTTGATGAAGAAATGAAGTGTTTAAATGGGAGAAAGGGGATGGACGAAATTGGGAGAGAAAGAGGGAGTTCTTTTGTGGTTTTTGTTGTATAAGGATAAACCAAATAATGAATAAGAGATAAACACACTCTTATTTTATTTGGAGCTGTTTCTTTTCACACAATAATATTCACTATTATTATATGAAATAGACTCCTAACACACACTCAAAAGTAGCCAACTTTAGAGATATTTAATTAGGAAATTGAGAGAATTAGCTTCACACCAACTCAAATATTACTTCAAAGAGTAAAGAAATGGAATACAATGAATGAGTTTTACAAGGCCATAGGGCCGAAATATATAGGGAAAACAGCAAGGAAACTTCACCACTCTTTCCTACAATTCAAGTGCATAATGTCAATTTGATGGATCCCATAGGTTGTCCTCATTGATCAAGGCTAAAAGGGGTTCATGGTGGTGAAATGGGCTGTCTTTGGGTGGGGAAATTCGGCCATGTGAAGGGTAGGGTGAGGGAGTGTGTCATTTTGTCCATTTATGCAAAGTAAGGTATGTGACACATAAAGGGATTGGTTGTTTATTCCTTTGGCCTTATTATAGGTTTGAGAAGTGATTTGGGGGATGTTTGGGGGGAGGAATTCGGCCATGGGACAAGGAAAGTGAGGGGGGATGGTTTTGAATGATTTTCACAGCAAGACAAAAGACATGTTTAATCCTTGTCTCTTGATGATATACCCCGGCGCTGATGGTTGCTGAGATTTCAGCAATTTGTTTAATTGCCTTATTACCGATTCACAATACTAAGGAAAACCTGGCTTGAATAGTTAGGATTTTGGGCGGTGTATCGGTATTAAAGGGACTCGGGTTGAGGTTGAATTTTCCGGGTCGGTAAGAGTAGGTTAGGTTTGGGGTTTTATAGGTTTTTAATAAACCCAAAACCACATTTATTTTTCCTTCATCCCTGGCCAAAAACCTCATGCCACAACCCTGCCAATACTACTCCTTTACACCTCAACTTGGCTAAACAAACAGCCATAAAATCCAAGACACCTTGACCCACACCCACACCCTTCAATTCCCCATGTTTTTACCCCATATCCAGCCCAGGAAATACCTCCAAGAACAGACTCAGCGAGGAAAGAACCCATTTGCTTTCGATGTCAAGGACGAGGTCATTATGCTAACGAGTTCCCCAACAAAAAGGTGATGGCAATCGTTGAGTGTGATGAAGAAGAATTTGATCCAACTTGGGCTGAAGAAAACATGGAAGAAATCGAAGAGCAAGATGAATGCATTGGTCCCGATGAAGGAGAGCTCCTGGTCATTCGAAGGACTTTGAGTACCATAGCATGTCCCGAAGAACAATTGCAATGGGAGAACATTTTTCACACTCGTTGCACCGTACAAAGGAAGGTGTGTTCTCTTATCATTGATAGCGGGAGTTTCACTAACGTGGCTTCCAAAACTATGGTGGACAAGCTGCACTTAAAAACATCACCGCATCCTAAGCCATACACGATTCAATGGCTGAATCATGGCAAAGGCTTACGAGTTGATACGCAGAGCCTCATTTCTTTGAGCATTGGCAAAGCATACAAGGATGACATATGGTGTGATATCATCCCTATGGATGCGTGCCACATACTTTTGGGACGACCTTGGTTATTTGATCATCGTGTGCAACATGACGGTTACGCCAACACTTATTCATTCTTGATGAATAAGAAGAAGATTACCCTAACCCCATTACCACCACCCCCCTCTACTACGGCCAAAACTACACCAGAACAACCCCCCGTCCTTATATCCACCATCTTACAATCTGAGCAGCATGAATTTGATGGGGTTAAAGATTTAATCCTGTTGGAAGATGGGGAAGCCGAACCCTTCACACCTCTCAAACCACCCCATCCCTTGGTCGAGCCAATTTTGCGAGACTATACCCAAGTATTTCCTGAAGATGTTCCCCATGGTTTACCCCCCAAACGGGACATACAACACAAGATTGATCTCATCCCGGGGGCTGCCCTACCCAACAAACCGGCCTATAGGATGAACCCCGAAGAAACGAAGGAGATTCAACGCCAAGTTGATGAGCTGCTAGCTAAAGGCTTCGTGAGAGAGAGCCTTAGCCTGTGCGCTGTCCCGGCACTTTTGGTGCCAAAGAGGAATGGAACGTGGCGTACGTGTTGCGATAGTCGGTCTCTCAACAAGATCACTATCAAGTATCGGTACCTGATTCCCCGTTTGGAAGATATGTTGGATGAGTTGCATGGCTCCAAGATCTTTTCAAAAATTGATCTTAGGAGTGGATATCATCAAATTCGAATCTTTGAAGGAGACGAGTGGAAGACAGCGTTCAAGACGAAGTTTGGGTTATACGAATGGTTGGTTATGCCATTTGGATTAACCAATGCCCCGAGCACGTTCATGCAGCTTATGAATCAGGTCTTGAAGCCGTTTATAGGTCATTTTGTCGTTGTCTACTTTGACGACATTCTGATTTATAGCAAAAATGAAGAAGATCATGCTAATAACCTCACTTTGGTGATTAAGAAGTTGGACAAGGAGAAACTCTATGGCAACCTCGAAAAGAGCCAATTCTTTTCGCAAGAAACGGAGTTCTTGGGATACTTTATCTCAAGTGAAGGCATACGGGTGGACGAAAAGAAGACACAAGCCATTAGAGAATGGCCGACCCCCACCACTATGCAACAAGTTCAGAGTTTTCATGGTCTTGCCTCTTTCTACCGAAGATTTGTGAAGGATTTTAGCACCATCACGGCACCTATCACGGATTTGACGAAAAATCAGAAATTCGAGTGGAACTCCAAGGCCTAACAGGCCTTTGAAACAATCAAGGAGCGATTAACACATGCCCCCGTGTTAACCCTTCCTAGTTTTGACAAACTATTCGAGGTCGAGTGTGATGCCTCAGGAGTTGGAATCGGAGCTATCCTATCCCAAGAAGGGAACCCGGTGTCGTACTTTAGTGAGAAGCTAAACTGAAGTTTACTACGTCAAGCCACCCACAAACCGATGGCCAAACCGAGGTCACCAACCGCACCCTAGGAACACTCTTACGAGCCCTCATCAAGAAGAACATCAAGCAATGGGAGGAGCTTCTTCCACACGCTGAGTTTGCCTACAACCGAACCCCGAACAAGACTACCGGACTATCCCCATTCACAGTGGTCTATGGTTCGAACCCCTTGACCCCACTTGAACTTGATCCGATCATCACGGAAACCAAATACAGTTGGGAAGCGGACAAGCGGTCAAAGGAAATCCAAGACCTTCACGCCAGGGTTCGAGAGAAGATTGAAGCTATAAACGAGAAGGTAAGTGCGCGCATCAAC